TGCCATTTTGATCGATCTCAAAAGAAGTTTGATCGATCGAACATCATCTCTCATCTCTCAGTTCCATCGTGCGCACATTTCCTGCATATTTCATTTCTCTGTGTATCGTGCGAAATTTTCCCTCAAATCAATCTAGGCATTGTTCGATTGATCTAACTTTATCTTCGATCGATCTCAATTCTATACTCAGAAAAAATTTTGAAAGTTTGATAAATCATCTCTCTGTGTATCGTTCGAAGTTGTCTGCAGGTTTCACATTCTCGATCGATCGAGTTTCGATTTATCTTTTTTAAATCGATCACATCCTTGCCCCTTTAACTTTTTGACTTTTCCTTCTTTTTATTTCTAGTTTTTTTTTTTTTTCATTTTCTTTTGTAATTTCATTTTATTGTATTTACTTGCTTTTATCTCGACCAAAATAAATAAATAAATAAATCATTTAAAGCGATATTTCATCTAACTAGAGACATTAAACTTAGCAATCATTGTGCATATTTCTTGCATTCTTATTTCTTTACATAATTACATATATATATATATATATATATATATATATATATATATATATATATAATCACCATTGTGCCCTTATGTGTAGTCATGCTACTTTCCTATTTTCTATTTGGGCTTGATTTCATATCTCTCTTTCATCTTGTGCTATATTGCCTTAGATTGCATGCCTTGATTATTCTTATCCCATTTCATTTTTGATGTGAGTTTACTAGTGTGGTTATTCAAGTAAGTTGTTAATTTCAAGTTTGGGGGAGCATTCTTTACCAATGGATCACTACTGGGCTTCATGTCTCTGCCACCACGGTATATTATTTCCATCTTTTCCATTGTTCTTATTGCACATTGAGGACAATGTGCGGTATAAGTTTGGGGGTAATGGGACTTTGTTGCATTCTATTTAAGCTTGAGACTTAATTGCATGATTAAGATTTGGGATCCATGATTAGCTATGATTTTGATCTTTTGAGGACTATATTGCTTAGAATTTAAAAATTGCTTGACTTGAGAGTCCAATACTCCTTCTATACCTTGTGGATGCCATTTAGGAGTAAATTTTTCGAAAGATTGATATCACAGTCCACATCATCATGATTTTGTGATTGTTTTGAGATTCACTCTAGGATTCTACACTAGCACAGGCGTACACTAGCATTCATTTGTGGGGTACTTGCTTAGTTGATTATTGATTTGGTTATATCCCAATTGAGCTAGTAGTGCATTGAAAGTTTTCATTCTTGATAAAGGTGGATAACAAACCCTTTTCATTGAGTAGCCGGGATTCTAGCCTCATCAAGTACTGAATTTCTCATACCGAAAGGTGGAGGGCCCAAACTCTAGGTTAATAATTGAACTTTTAAAAATAAAAAAATAAAAAAAAATTTAAAAAAAGTAAGTAAAAAGTTACAAAAGTAAATAAAAAAGTGAGGACTTCTCTCAAAAGGTGAGAAGTGGGAAATGATTAGTTAGATGGAGGCTGTTTTGATTTGTAACCTAATTAATTTGAGCTTGTAAGTCCTTAGGGGTGTTTTAACACCTAGTGCCCTAAAGTCGTCTGGTTTGGGAGTCATTGACCTAACGCTTAATCTCATGGATCGCTAGAAAGCTAAATAGATCAACACATTGAACTATGCTTCCATCTTTGATCCTTAGGATTAAAAAAATAAATAAATAAATCGAGTGAAAAGAATAAGCGCACCTAGATCAATAAAGCTTTAATAAAAGTTTCACTCTTTGTCTTGATGATCGGTACTAGATTTGTGTGTTAGTTTGAGGGTAAGGATGTGATCATTTCTCTAATTAGCTTAGATGACAACATATTTGATGTCGGTTCACTCAAAAAGGATTCTAGAGTTGTTTTGATTTGCATGATCATTTTCTTAATGTGTGGAGGACCATACTTTTTTGCTTGATGTTGAAATTTTGGGAAATTGCTTGGAAATGGTTGAAAAATTGCATACTTGATGCAGTTTTCTCCCAATGCTTGTTTGCAATATTGGTGCCTCTTTTGTGAGAATGAGCATAATGTTTGTGGGTATCATTTCTGGAAACCCTCACGAGACTTCACTCGTCTACTAAGGGTAACCTGGGGGTTTAAAAGGCTTGTTGCATGTGCTAAATGCAATCTTGTTCCCTACAAAAGTGGCGTTATCCATTTATTATTTTCTAGATTATAATTGTTTAGTTGTTCATTTCATTCCTTTACCTTGTAGTTCATTGTTATGGACTAGTAATATTTAAGTTTGGGGGTGTGATGAGTACTGAAAAGTGCGCATTTAAAACCCTTAAGCTCGAGTATTCTAGGACCTTTATCTATCTTATTTTTCCGTTTTAGACTCATTTCATGTTATTGCCCTTTTCATGTACTTATCTCCAAAATAAGTTAATCCAGCTGAATTAGAGCATAAAAGATGCAATCTCCAACTCAGTGGAAGAAATGAGCAAAGTGGAAGCAAAGAGGTGGAAAGTAGCATTCTTCAATCAATCATACCAAGCTTCGATCGATCACACAGTGATCGTTCCAACAAGGCTAAGATGGATCGAGCCTTTTATCATTTTCCTCACCAAAATACCTTCTTCAATCAATCCAACAATTCTCTGATTGATCGAACACCCTTGATCTTATCCCCACCTACCACTTTTGTCTTTTTCCTAAAATATCCCAAAAATATCTCAGTCTTATCTTATTCCAAAAAAGCACCGGCATAGTTCGATCGATCGAACCAACCTTGAGATCGATCGAACATCCTCAAATGCGGGAAAAAGTTAATTTCAAGCTAAATAAAAGGTGTGCTCATGGTGCAATCATTTGAAGGTCCTAGTGCATAAGGGCTCACCATTGGGTGTGACATTTGAGCTTTTATATAAAGTTTTTGGCTACTTTGAGTAAAAAGGGAGATTAGTTAGAGAGATTTGGCTGGAGACTAAAGAAAGAATACACAAATTGGGGAAAGTTCTTCATCTCTTCTAGGTTTCCACCAAGGAGGAAGAAGATTTTCTAGCATGGAGATAGCCCTTGAGGGTTAGATGACAACATCAATGAGTGGCTAAACATCTTCTTGGGGCTAAAGCTAGCCCTAAGCATGCCTCCTAGACTTTGATATTTTGTAATTAATGGGGATTTTTGTTGTAATTCTTGTTTTGACATTTGACTTATATATAAATCTTGTTTCTACAATGATTTATATGGTTTAATACTTCCAATTGATCATTTCATTCTATTCATATGTATGTATGTTAGAATAGATGTTCATGTGTTTATCTCTAGATTTTGTGATGTTGATGCATGTCTATGTGTGTTGATGCTATGAATCTAATGATTGTCAAGGCATAGTGTTTTAATAGAATACTCTTGTGGTTTGTTTGATGGTTCATGCTCATTTCTTGATGGATTGTGCCTCTTCCTTAGTTTACTTAGTTTAATTTTTATGTCCCTAGCTTAGTTGTAGTGTAGTTGCTTTACTTTCTTAGATGGGAGTACAATCCATGCTTGTTGTTTGATATTCCATACTTATGAATGCAAGTAGTATATTTCTCTAAATTGTGGGTGTGTATTAATTGAGGGCTTAAAGGAAGGAAGGAATAATGGCTTAACTTCATATGTTGTGCTATTCACTAGATTAGTTAGACAATGTATGCTTACTTAGCCATCCATGCTATTATTCCAATCAATTGCACATAATTTCATTTACAACACATGTTTCCCCTTTGTCCAATAAACATTAGATGTCTAAGAAGGTGGTGTTTAGTGGTGAACTCTAGGTCCCAAGACCTCTCTCTTATTCTCTACACTTTACTTAATTTAGTTGTTTCACATTACTTTCACTTAGTTAAAATTGTAGTTTAATTAACCAATCAAACCACTTTTTAATCACTCGACCTACTAATCCAACCTTGTTTCCAAGCAAAAGTACATGTCCAATCCCTTAGGACGATCCCTACTCACCCTAACTATATTTTCAGTCAGAAGTGGTAGTGGCATTTCATAAATTTAAACTTACCACACTACACACTTTTGCATGCTTTGGTTTGAGGTTACACCATGTACAAAATCCTGACACAAAGTCATCTTAGCAGCACAGTCAATATCTTGTATTCTTCTACTATTGAATCCCCCCTCAACCACAGGGAGAGTCACTTGACTCCACTTCACTTGAGATAACTTCTTCACGTCCTGCTTTCCACTCCATAAAAACTATTTAAATCTCTTCTCCAACTGATACTTAACCACCCAAGGGATTTTAAATCCAAACATCTAATGGTAAAGATAAGAGTACAAAATAGATTTGATTAATTCAATCCTCCCTGCAAGTGACAAATTTATAGTATTCCAATGTGCTAACCTTGAATTCACTTTATCTAGAAGCAATCTAAAATCACCTGATCTCAACCTATTATTAGATAAAGGCAAACCAAGATATTTAAAAGGGAAAGATTCAGTCTAAAAATGAAGAATTCTGGATAACCTTCTGCTACCTCTAACTGATTTGGAATAGATAATTGAACTTTTTTCCTAATTAACTTGAAGACCAGAAACTGCCTTGAATTTCATGAAAATAGCATCCACATTTTTTGCAGTTGAAATATTAGCCTTAACCACCATGAGAAGGTTATCTGCATAAAAAGCATGTGAGATATTCATTCCAATTTTGGCCACCATCTTGCATAACTGAACTCTACCTGTCTAAATTGCATTTGTCATTAAGGTGCTAAAATATCAGTGACAAAAGAAAACAGAAGAGGAGATAGAGAAAAGCTTTGTCGAATCCCTCTAAAAGAGTCAAAATATCCAACAAGTACTCCATTACACAAAACAGAAAACTTAGGAATAGTTATACACTGCCTAATCCAACCAATCAAAATATGCAAAGGAGATAGTCAAGAAATTTGGTTTGTAAGATTCAAAACATGTGCAAAATCCTATTAGTACTTCATCCAAATTGGATAGAGACTCTGATCCTAACAAGGTATATCTTTCCTTGTATAGGAGTATGATTGATAGCTTGTTATATTTGGCAGCAAGTAGGCCAGATATATCATTTAGTGTAGGTGTTTGTGCTAAGTATCAAGCTGATCCTGGAGAACAAAATGTTCTTACAGTCAAGCACATTATTTGTTATGTCAATAGTACATTGAATTATGGATTGCGATATTCTTCTAAATCTAACTCTAAGATTGCGGGCTATACTGATGCCGATTGGGCTAGTAACAAGGATGATAGAAAGATTACTTCAGGTGGCTGTTTCTATGTTGATACTAATCTATTTTCATGGTACAACAAGAAGCAAAATTGCACATCCTTATCATCTTGTGAGGCTGAATACATTGCTGCTGGAAGTAGTTGCACACAATTGCTTTGGATGAAATAGAAGCTTTTGGATTATGGAGTTGATCAAGGTACTTTTTTTTTATCTTTTGTGATAATACTAATACAATTAATATTTTAAAGAATCCAGTTTTGCATTCTAGGACTAAGCACATTGACATTCGACATATTTTCTTAAGGAATTTGTAGAGCAAAATGTCGTGTCTTTGGAAAAAGTGCATACTAATCAGAATTTGGCAAACATTCTCATTAAGCCATTAGATGCTCCTAAGTTTTCTCATCTTAGGAAATCTATAGGCGTTTGTTGTCTTGATTAGATGCATTGCAAAAACATAATCTAAAAAGGATCTTCATACATATCTTAAGTGTCTAGATTATGTTTTTGGAAAGTTAAGCAAACCATATTGATTGAGTATGTTGAATAGAAGGAGTTTAATGACACATGGATTGTATGTGTAAAACATACTATTGCTAAATTAATGAAATTGATTTTACTTACTTATTTCATATAGTAAATGGATCATTAATAGTATATTTACTTATTTTTGATGTCACTGATTTGGTCAAAGATGATGTTGACATAATTAAGCATTGCCTTAGAATTTAAACTTGCTTTATTTTTTTTAGACCAAAAAAGTGAAATGAAAAACAGCTTGGAATAAAAAGTTTTAAAAATAAAAAATAAAAAATTGAAAATAATTGTTGTTGAAAAGAATGAGCAGGTTGGAAAAGGCTACTTTTGGGATTTGTCCGAAGCTACCTTGAATCGAAACAAATGGAAATAAGGAAAAGAACTGACTGCCCATAAGAGTGAAAACCGCCAATGTGCAAAAAGAAAAATGGAGCACAAAGAGAGAGAAAAAAAATAATCTTTTTCACATGTTGATTGTTTGATTTATAAGAATATGTGATATCATTTATTTATTGTCTGGAATTTAAATACTTGACATTTTTGGAACTTGGTGGTGATTTTACTACACTTACTAAGTTTGTAGAACTTAAATGAATTGATCTTGGTTATAAATGTGTTGTTCATATAGTCTTGTGAAGTCTATATTCTCATTGGATTCAATTTACAAGTTCTATATGGTTGGTTACTTCTTTCTTCTATAATATTTCTTCCTTTAGACCCTTATCAATTTCTGACAAAAAGGGGAAGGGAGTTGAGATTGATATCATTCAGTGGTAGAGATATTTTTGCACTGAGGGGGAGAACATTTGATCATTGCATTTGTGCATTTGCATTGCATTGATTTTCCAATATTATTAGCTTTCCTATTTTATGCTTGTGTTTATTTTCTTGATTAAGCTTCACGGGTAGTTTTGTTTAGGTAATGTGCAAATTACTGTTTGATACAAGTGTTGAAGCTTCATGAGGTTCAAGAAAAATTCCGCGGTTTATTTCCTTTGACAATCATTGTAATTTGTTTTTTCTGCTTATGTAGATTATATGTTGTTATTAGGATTTTATCACAAAATTGCCAAAGGGGAAGATTGTGAGAAATATAAATATATATATATATATATATATATATATATATATATATATTGGGGAGATTATGAACAATATATATTTTGTTATTGACTAATTTCATTGTCAAAACAAGTTCGATTGAGCTGTAATATTTCGGTTTGAAAAATTCAAGATTGAAGATCGGAAGTGGATTTGAAGAAGTTCAAGTGTTCATACTTTATTACACTTTGAGATAATGAGATCAATGCTTTAGAAAGGTATGTGAGTGTGTGAGAACACTTAGGAAGTTTTGGAAGGTTGAAGTTTTTAAGAAGTAAACATTCTGCTCATTGGGAGCCGGTAGCCAACTGTTGTTCAAAAACGGATTCGTCACTGCCCTTCCGGAACCGGTAGCCAATATCTCTACCGGTAGCCGAATCACATCGGATTTGTCTCTGTCCTTCTTGAACTGGTAGCTAAATCTAGTACTGGTTCAAGGCTTCAGATTTGACTAGGTAACTTTAGTTTCCTGATCTTTTTTGATTCCTTTTTGGTCCAGACTTCTTTCTAAAAACCTATGCACGAATTTCACTTGTTTTATAAGTATTCTTAGGTCTTCCAAACTTCTATATAATGTCTCTTTCATTCAACCTTGAGGTATGGCTTTAAGGAACAAAAATTCAGTATTTTGAGAAAGCCTTTTGAGATATATTATTTAGAAAATCAAATCTGATTTTTTTTTATTTTATTTTTGAGAGCACACAGATATACACAAGTGATTAAGTTGTGTTGTTCTCTATCTCATCGAAATTGGGGCTTAACTGAAGATTAAGAGATTCCAAAAGAGCAAATTTATTTCTTCTACATCAAAGTTCAGATCTTGAAAAACTGAGGTGAGGCGATCAAACTTTGAAAGCGTCAAAGCATTTAAGGAATGTTGTTTGATCTACTAGCAATCCTTTTACAGAAATCACGAGTAAGCCTAAAGTCCATTGTACTTTGTTTCAAACATAGTGGATCGGTTTACTTTAGACTACATAGTCCATGAGGTTTTTCCCACAACAATTGGTCTATTCTACCAATTGGGATTTCCTCGCTAAAAATCATGGTACTATCTCTCTAACTCTACCTGTTTTCCTTTTTAGTATTTTATCTTTGTGATTGTGGATGTTTAATTGATTATATTGCTTAGGCAATTTAATCAGTCACAAAAATTGGGCAAGTTGACCTATTAATCTCATCTAGGTCATTAAAGGAGTTAATCACAATTAAATCAACTAACAGCTTTCACACCGCGTAACTCACAAGAAATTAGAAGCCCATGAAAAATAAAACTAGAATAGTCAAACCCGAAATAAAAAGTGGAAGATCTTCCGTATCTTCTCTATCAGTTGCACAAGCCTCCCACCTTTGTTCCTTAGCCACCAACCAATTCTTCTATTTTTCTCTATATTTTTTTCTCTCCCTCTCGGTTGCTCATCCTTACTCTTATACAGAGATCTTCTAAGGTTTTTCAAAAGAAGAAATAAATAGGAAATAAAAATATGCCAAAATCTTCTTTCCATAATTTAAGTAACTTAGAGCCTAATTTTGATTGGAGTGCGATTCATGAAATATTCGTGAAATACAAATATCTTTCACTTCAAGTTATCTTTCCATAACCTCTAATTTCACTGCATTCCAATGTTTGAGTCAAAAGTTATGGTCACAGTACCATTACTGGTGTAATTTTTACGCAGAATATTAGGACAACTTTAACACACAATTTTCACCCCTTAAATGTCATAATTAGGGTTTCTTTGTGAAATACAAATATTTCCCTCTATGGACTATGGATAAGCTTTCTAAAACATCTGGGCTTGCTTTAATCTAAGATCCAAGATGAGTGTTAAATAGTAAGGCATACACAGAAGAGTCTTGGGCCTCTTTATTTGTTGAATTTGGTCTTTTTTTTTCTTCAAAAATAGCAATAACCTAGAAAAACACAAGGATTAAATAAAATAATATAAAATAAACTACTAACAAATATAATTTTGGAGGTTAATTATCTATAAATTATGTACTTATTAAATACTCTCAAACTTATATTTTGCTAGTCCTCGAGCAAAACTTAACGAAACCTAACTAAGCCACTTTCGTTGGCAATCTCGATTACATTTAGCAAATGTTACAAGTCTTTAAACCCATAGGTTACCCCTAGTAGATGAGTTATAATCTCATGAGGGTTTCAAGTGATGATACTCACAAATATCAGGAAAATAAGTTTCTAAACATTATACAATATACAAAGAGGTATAATAAATTGTATAAAGTATAACATATAAAGTGATATTTGTATGTATGATAAAACAAAAGTAAATTCCTTTCTTAATTTGTTAATTTGGCGCTCACTTGGTGATGACAAGGTTATGTATGGGAGGTGGTGCTAATCACCATCATTAGATACTCGGTGGACATCGTCCAGTGAGAGAGCATAATTTTTTCCCTTAACATATATATATATATATATATATATGTATATATATATATACATATATATATATATATGTTACACATTATAGATAGAAGTGTATATTTTATACAAAAGAATATTTTAAGAGACGGCTGGAATTGCTCATATAGATCCCACCCCCAAAGTGGACCAAGATCACCTCCAGTTGCATAGTGCAACCATTTCCACCATTTGAAATAAGTGGCTGAGAATGTGCCACATCAATTAAAAAATTTGGGTAACTAATTTTTTAGCACCCCTTTAAATACTGTATTTCATATATATATAAACTTTAAATATTATTTTTAAAATACGTTACGTACGGCTGTCTCCCTTTTTCTCTCTAAAGCTACGCACGGCTGTCTCCCTTTCTCTCTCTAAAAGCTACGAAGGAAATAGTACCAACGGCGGTCTGAGGCAAAGAAGAAGAAGTGAAGAACGGCGATGGGGCAAAGAAGAAGAAGTGAAGAATGACGATATGAGGCGAAGAAGAAGAAGCAGTGAAGATCGAAGGTCTGAGGGTTAAGGTTTGAATTTTGAATAAACGAAGATGAAGAAGAAGGGAATAGAAAACGAAAAAGAAGGGAAGAAGGTCTGAGGCTAGGTTGGAAAAGTTGGGATGCACCTTAGGGTCCGTTTGGTTAGACAGAAAATTTTATGGAAAGTGAAAGTAAAAGAAAGTAAAGTGAAAGAAAGGAAAATCAAGTTTCTATCGTGCATTTGGTTAACAGAAAATATTTTGAAGAAAGTTGTAAGAAAATATTATTTTATTATTTTGGATAGCATGAAAAGGAAAAGAAAATGATTCTATTTACCGAAAATACCCTAATAATTTTAAATAGTAAAAAAATAAATAAATTTATGTTTGATAAATATTATTTATACTTAATTATTTATTTTAGTAAGGAAATAGTGAAATATGGAATAGAATAATATGTGATATCATAATACAATTTTTTTGCTTTCTCCTCTCTCTATATATATTCACTTGTTCTTATGTAAACTTGAATTCTCGATCTTTTATTTTTTAAGGTAAGAAAAATAAGTTTTTGGTAAAGTGAACTATCAAAGTTCAAGTATTTATTTTCTCTTTATGTTA